GGCCAGAACCGCTCCCCCTGCGACGGGCACGCCTGGAGACCACCCTGCAGGTGGCGGTTCCGCGCGTGCCTGACACCCGGAGAAGTTGAGGGAGGGGCGAGGACGCGGCGGCTGCCGGGACCCCACTAGAGGGTGGTCGGGGTCCGCCAGGTAAGTGTGAGCCTTCCTCCTTCTGGACAGAGCCCCAGAGCCCGGCCACCTCCCTCCCACCCGCCCTGTCCCTCTTGCCTTCTCCGGGCTGCCTGCCCCTTCCTCGGCCGACTCTCCAAAACTTTGCAAATTGCACTTGGGAGAATGAATCCTGCAGTCGCTGTCTGTGCGCCCGGGTGGGTTATAACGCCTTCTTCACTCACAGAGAAGGTCAGAAACCTCGTAGCTCTGAGATCCCACCGCTGTGGGGAAGTGATGTCTGCAGGGACCCTGGACGGCCGCTGGGCGGCCTAGGAAGGAAGTTCCAGGGGGAAGGTTGGAAAGCAGGCAAGCGGAGTTGAGTAAAAACCGCCCCCCAACACACACACACACACACACACACACACACACACACACACACACACACACACACCACACACACACACACACACACACACACACACACACACGCACACACACGCACACAAACCCGCGCGCGCTCTCGGGGCCACAGGTGCCCTTGACCTGTATACGTGCGCCAGCCCTTCTCTGCGGGAGAGGGCGTCTGGGGGGATTTTGAATCTCAATTCTCAGTATAATGGAGGAGACTGAGGAGGCATCAGAGAAGATTAGACTGGAAGAGGGCATCTCTCCAGCAACCATGCACCTTGCAGAGGCCCCATGGCTGAGCCAAAGCAGAAACAGAGCTAGAAACCAGTCCTTTGGCTCCTGGTATAGTGCTCCTTCTGCCTGGCCAGCACATTGCTCAAACTCCCCATCCGGGAGGTCTGGGAGCATACACGTTAGTGGGTCCAGGGTGGGAGTCCCCGAGGCAAGCACTTGCTCACCTGCAGGGAGCATCGCAGAAGCCAGCATTCCAGCAGCAAGCTTTGCTTCCTGCCTCAAATCCCCAGCTCACCTCAATCCCTCCTTCCTTCAACCTAAGGGACCTCAGGTGGCTCTGTCCCCATCCCTACACCCCTGAGTGAGTTACTCAGCCTGTGACATGAGGTCCCTACAGCAACTCAGCTGGGATTTGGGAAAGAGGCAAGAGGCAGGTGTTTACCAAATGAATGAAAAATACAGTAACGGAGGTCATAAATACAGAGCTAACCCAGCATCCACACGTATGTAGGTACCAGTCGCTGGTCAAGCCTCCTCCGTACATCATCTCACAGCGATGAAGCAAATCATAGGACAGTCCCCACTGTGCAGATGGCAGGGCCGCAAGGAGGCTGGGGTGAGTGGTGAGTTGTGTAAAGATTAGAGCCAGCGCAATCAGGCACTCTGGGTTACCAAGTAACCTCTTCAGAGCCTTCCATCTGTCACCAAGCCATTCCCACACCTCCAAGGATGGATAGGCGGGTTGTTAAGCCACCTATTGATTTTCTTTCCTCTGCGGAGGTATCTCCCATCTCTCTGTTCAGCAATGTCTCCAGAATTTCTATATAATAAGGCTTTCAGCCAGGAATCTGGTTTGGAGGCTAGACCAAGGATTTGAGTAGGGGCTGCTGTGCTGGTGGACTCAGATTCTAGGTTCATGAGCACTGGCTTGGAGGAGGTAGAGGAGGCACCCACCCCCATGGCTGCAACTGTCTGTATCCCTGTCATCTGGAAGGAAAGGGGAAGTCACATCAGAATTAATCACATTTCCTTCAGGGCTTATAATACGCCTATAAAGGTACCTGAAGAAGTTTTCCAAACTTTCTCAGTTGACATACTAATAGCTCAGCATAGCAATGCAGGTATCACTACGGATCACATTGGTGCACATCAGTATGTCCCAAGAGTCATAAAGCCAATGCTAGCTAAGGGCGTGGTGCCTCCAGGTACATTTTCACAATAATTGGTGCAATAATGAGAAAATAAGAGAGTTGAGAAATGAGAAAGCTAAGTGATAGCATAATGTGAGAAAAGATATATTTTTGTGGCTGTGCTACACAGAAAGAAAGTAGTAGTATTTCAGTTATTATTTCGTAGATACTATTTTGATTATACGGATTGTCCTTTTAGGGGACCACTCTTCTGAGACAGCATCCACCATCCTTGGTCTCCATCGTTAACAGAAACAGAATGAGGGAAAAGACCAACCAGCTACCTTTGCAGCTCCCGCTCTGTGACGATGCCCAGCAGAACTGGGACAGTGAAAGGAGCAGCAGAAGGATGGGTAGGTACCCTTAGACTTTTTCTATGTGGATTTTAGCTTTTAGCTGTATTCTTATGTAAGTGTTTTTCATAAACATAGTGATTTAGGAATGAAAATATGTTATTTGAATTTCCAAGCCCATTATAAAGGTGTTTCCACCCTCATATGGTGCTGGCAATGTTGGTAATGGTACAGAAATATATAGAAAGTTCTGGAAATCAGTAAGATCATGATGCCAGAGTCATTTTTATCCTCCTGGGGGCGGGGAGAAGACTAATCCATATCAAAATATACCATAAAACAATATGTAAGCTGTCAAATTTTTACACTAAGAAAGTGCCAAGTATGTAGAGTGTAATATGTAATTTGTTTAATAACCTGTTTCAAACCTATACTGCATAGATATTCAGCTTTAAGTGCAAAAATAGTTCATGCAGTTCAAGATCAGACTTCTCAGCCTCACTGGGATCCTTGAGAACCTTGACCCAGAGTCACCCAGGAGCCGAAAGAGCAGTTGTGAAGTTCATTCATTAAAATTCACTGACTGCTTTACTTTCTAAGAGACGCCATCAGGCAGTCACTCAAGTGTGTTGACTCTTATTTTAAACAGCTCTAGTAATCAGGGTTATCTGATTTCTTAGATCACAGCAAATGTGCGTGGAGTCAGAGGAGCTCATTAGATGGGAGAGGTCTACTGTCTTCAAGTATGAAGACTGGCCGGTGGGGCCGCTGTGGGAAGTGCGTCACTGAGATAAGGTCTAATTATGTTCCACAGACTCTACTTCAGGAATCTGGAAAATAAAGACACAAATGAACTTACTTACAAAATAAAAACAGACCCACAAACATAGAAAACAAACTTATGGTTACCAGGGGGGAATGGGGTGGGAAGGAATAAATTGGGCGTTCAAGATTTGCAAATATTAACGGTTATATATAAAATAGATAAACAACAAGTTTCTTCTGTCTAGCACAGGGAACTATATTCAATGTATTGTAGTAACCTCTAATGAAAAAGAATATGGAAACGAATATATGTATGTATATGTATGACTGAATCACTATGTTGTACACTAGAAATTGGCACATTGTAAACCGACTATACTTCTATAGAATAAATAAATTTAAAAAAAAGAAATCTCAAAAATATGTAATGTATTTCCAAATAGGTTTTCATTTGAGGAAAGTAAATACTGTGTCATCCCAAAAGGCAAGCTTTGTTTTTCTAGACAAAAAAACAAAACAAAACCACACGTTGAAGACCTCATCCCCTGAGCCCTGTAACTCAAACACAGTGACGTTCCATTAGAATGTGTTGACTGAATAACTTCTTTTAACCTCTAGACGTTTTGCATTAACATCTTCATGGGCGGGGGGTAGATAATTAAGTTTATTTACTTGTTCATTCATTTATTTATTATTTTATTTAATGGAGGTACTAAGGATTGAACCCAGGACCTCATGCATGCTAAGCATGCTCTCTAACGCTGAACTACACCCTCCCTGACATCTTTAAATATAGGTATGGGGAGGAGGAGGGTATAGCTCGGTGGTAAAGCACGTGCTTGGCATGTGGGAGGTCCTGGGTTCAATCCCCAGTACCTCCATTAAAGTAAATAAACCTAATTACCTACCCCCCCTCTAAAAAAACAACACAAAATTTTAAAAACAAAACAAAAAGATTAAACATACACATAAAAATCAATGAGTTGGGTGGTGATATTTTCAATCTTACACTCTCCATTCTTCATGCCATTTCTCCCTGGGGAAAAACGTCCAGGAACAGAATAAGGAGAAAATGTGCCCCCATCCCCAAGCTTTCCCTCCAAGTGACAGGCAGCAGGAGCAGTTCCAGGGGCGCACGCTGTCCACAGTGTCACTGAGACCTCACGTAGAATCATCCAGCACATCAAGCGCCTTGCACGGCGACGCTGCCACTCTGACATCTGTACACCCAGCGTCACCCCTCCCGCCCCAACTCCGAGAGAAGAGCGTCATAGAGCGGGAACTACAAAAACCCAAGAGCAGGGAAGCACCAGAGACTAATGCACATCTGGTCTGCATCCGCCTGACAGAAAGCCCAGAGATCTAAACACAGATCAACTCAAGACAGTGCCTTTTATTTCTACAGTAGTTAAACTAAGTTGCCCGTGTGCAGGGCTAGCTGACCCATGCAAACATTTCCCTTGGACAACTCGAGGCTCTGTGGTTTACAGACAAGGCAGGGTGTAACTTTCACCCCACCTTTAATTTTTAACTCTGATGGATAGAATATTTTAAATTATTAGTATTGTTTCTTTCCAACCATGTTAGCATCTTGTTTTAAAAAGAGAGATCATTTATTATTTAAGTCAATATCTGCAAAATCCTGTCCCATTTCCAGGTCTCACTCTCTGCCCTGTCACTGTTGCAAATACACATTATGGTAAGATCTCCGCTAGTAACAGTGTATGTTTCAACAAGTAACTCTCAGAATCTTTATTACCAACAGTAGAAATAGGATGGATAAGGCATACTGAGGATGTTAGAATGGGAGAGCTACTGAATAAAATATTAACACCGAACAGGGAAACCAGCCTGGGGACCAGAAGGACAAGGATAGTTACAATCAACAGCTCTGTCCTTGAAGAACAGGACCATCTCTGCACCCAAACTCCCGTTGTCCACTTCCACGCCCCCTTAAAGACACAGCAACGTCACTCAGACGGAAGACTTTGGTGTCCCTTTGGGCGCTGTGGGTGGGGCTGCCAGCCTACGCTCAGAAGGGCCAGCCCTTTTATCTGGTTAGTTCAGATAATAATAATATCAATATTATCATTACAATCATTATTAAGATTTGGGCTTTTACCATCTTACAGGCCCCGCTCTGAGCCGAATATGTTATACATTTATATACTTGGCACATTCTCTGAGGAAACAGGCTTAGAGACGGTGTATAGCTTTCCCAAGATCACACTGCTAGTGAGCTGTGAGGCTGGATTCACACCCAGACCAGCTCCCTTCCCCCATGGACACCCCTCTGGGTTTCCCATGTCTTCGCCCAAGGTAAGAGTTTAGGTAACTAATGAAATAATTATAAAAACATCATGTCTGCAGGGCAAAAATAATAAGATAGGTTCTTTAAGGTGGAAAAGTTGGGGACCAGTACAGGCAAATCCAGAACTGGGGTCTAGTCCACCTGACCGGCGGGCCAGGGCCTCCCCTCTGCTAGACCGCACGTGTTCTTCTGAAGGTCTGAACACACCTGGTCAGAGTTTTGAAGAAGCGGGGCCAAGAGTTACAATGGAAAGTTAAACAAGATTTTAATTAATGGATCTGCTTTTTCCATCATTTGCTTGATTCTTTAATCATAGGATGCCACACTTCGTACTCAAGTCAAAGTGATAATCAGCGTCATTTATGTCTTTCCACTTTATTAAGCTGATCATTCGAGCCATGCTAACAGTGTTCACCTAAAGAAACAGAGAAGCCTTTTTGTTTCTTTCTGTTCTCACAGAGCAGATACTGCTCATTCCTTTTTTTTTTTTTAACCAGCATCTTGGAAGACGACCAATCCTGGGATATATAAACA